CTACAAATAGTCACACGTTTCCATGGGCATATATTGCAGGACGTTTCTGTCATATTTGCTCTTGTATTGTGTTGATATGTAATTATATAAATTTCACTGTGTATGTTTGTTTTGAATATTTGTGTATTTTTCACACTGGCTGTACTGATAATGCAATATTTAGTTGGAACAATTTGATTAATCATCAATTTTTTTATTTTTTTATTTTTGTAAGTTTCTTTTTATCTCACTGTTAATTTTATTTTTTTATTTTTTTAGTTTTGTAAGTTTCTTTTTATCTCACTGTTTGTATAGGTAATTATGATCCAAGTGAATTGTACCTCTACACAGGTCCTAGACAATTCCTGAACTCACACAGCTCTTCTGAGCTGCATCACACATTGCTTTGTTTCCTGACAAAATTATTCAATGATAACGTCACCATTAATCACCCCGTGACCTTCCTCTCAACTGAGCCCAACTACAACTCATTCATCCCCATTTGCCATGCAGCTCTGCGGGTTGATAATTGCCAAAGCAAAACTCAGATTAAACCCAATTTGGACGGTTTCAGCCTGAAGTTGAGCAGAGACAGCCTGGCTCAGGCTGAATCAGAGTTCACTGTACTCTGGTCCTTTCTGCCTGTCTGAGGCTTCTCTGGGAGGGGACCGCAAAACCTAAATCAAACCAGTCTGTTCCCTCTGTTTGTGTTTGCGAGTGTGTGTGTGTGCGTGTGTGTGTGTGTGCCAGCTACGCATGCAACAGTGCAGTCCCTGCAATGCCATCACTAATAGAAACCAACTTCCAGCATTCAGACTCCATTTGTCTCATTAACCTATTACCTTAAAGTTTAATTGCAGGATGTCGTAAAATGATTTGGTCTATGAGTAATGACAATAATTCATGTAGCTAATGGGCAAAACAAAGCGAATCAAAGCAAAGCTGAGTGTTTTTTTTTTCTCCCTGCATGTCTGGGCTGCAGCTTGGGCCTTCCCCTCTCTTTGTCAAACAGTTGTTTACTGGAAAACTTTTCATTTGCATCACGGCATGATAGAAGAACAAATCATTTCGTGGCTTGTGAGTTCTTTTAAAAGATGATGTGATCAAAAACAAAATGAATTGACGGAACTTGTCGACGTTGTAATTTAAGAGAATTTAAGTGCGCAGACTCCATTAAAATCCTCCATAAAAAATTATAGCTTTGAAAAAGGACAGGGAACCGCATACCTCTCTGCAACCATGGGAGATGACCCCTAGGGGGCAGTGTACCTCATGAATCTCCAGGCACTGTATCATCAGTATCACTCTGATTACAATACTCCTCAATTGTTCCTGCTATTATTTCCTCCACACATTAACTACACTGAGCGTCAGTGCGACCAGACCCTGGGTGAGTTATGTTCATCTGCCCCGGCTCCTGCTCTCGCCCTTTAAACGGCAGCTTGATAGGATCTGTGTGGCTGACTGGGCATGTATAATGTTACCCCCATCAAAGGAGCCTGAATGGAGGATGATGAGTGTACTGCCTCTGCTTAGTGGAGGCATTTCCAGCTGGCGCCAGGGCAGAGGAAACCCACTGAGACACACAACAACACACACAGACACTGGGGTCAGTCTGGATTCACCCTTCCTCGCCTCCAACACCACCACCTTCTCCTCCCCTTCCTCCCCCTTTCACTTTCCATGCATCGGCACCTCTCGTCTGCTCTCATTTGTTTGTTCATTAATTTTATGTATTTACACATTTAGGCATTTCATTTTTAGGGTGATTTTAACGTTTCTTAGAAAAACAAACAAAAAGGTTTGTTTCTTCTTTTCACATCATGTTTTAATCTAGCAACAGGAT